AGGTTTGCAGCGATCCGAGCTGACAATTGCTATACGAGTCAACCGATCCGCCATGACTGACCTCTATTCATCGACAAACAAAACAAGAGTCTATCATCCAACTCAATTTGTATGTAAAGAAGCAAGAGATTCGTAGCATACGATTGATTACCTGAAATCTGTGGCTTCAAAGTCGGCGAGACACAGCCGATGTACCCTTTTTCCCTCTCTTTCCGTCACCAAAAACTATGGCACGGAAGATTGAGAAAACTTGTTGAAAACCTCCCCTTCGTTGGCTCGCCGGCGTTTCGAGTAGATTGCTGGAACGCTGGATATGGTATTTATAGTCCAGGCCGAAATTAGGGAGCGTCTGCCGAGCACGAGGAGGAGTTTGCGAGACAATGGAGGGTTTCTGCTAAGCGGGCCGCCAGCAGGTTAAAATGGGCTTTGGGCCGAAAGTAAATTTTTTTGGTACAAGGCCGAAAGTTCTATCTTCCATTTTTTGGTTTTTCCTTTTTGTTCTTTTTTTTTTAAAAAAAAATAATATGATTAAGATGGTGGTGCCTATGAGGTAAACTTAAAAAAAAAAAAAAAAAGTTAAACCCTCAATTTGGTTTTTAAACTATTGTATAAACTTTCAATTTGGTCCCTAAACTAAAAAAACTCTTGATTTGGTCCCTAAACTATTGTATGAACCCCCAATTTGGTCCATACTGTTTACCAATTTACCCCAAATTAGTCATTTTGTACAAAAAAAAAAAAACTGACATATCTTATTATTAATGTGACAAGTGATCATTAAGTTATTGTTTTTCATCATTAAATTATTATTTTTTGTCGTTAAGTAATGGACACGTCAGTTGGTTTTTGTACGGAAAGATCAACTTGAGATAAATTAGTAAACAGTAGGGACCAAATCGGGGGTTCGTACAATAGTTTAGGGACCAAATCAGAAATTTTTTTAGTTCAAGGATCAAATCGAAGGTACATACAATAGTTCAGGGATCAAATTAAAAATTTAACCAAAAAAGAATAAAATATATATATGAATATAGGTTAAACCACCAAATTTGGTTTTGAACTATTGTACAAACCCTTAATTTGGTCCCTAAATTAAAAAATTCATGATTTAATCCCTAAATTATTGTACGAACCCTCAATTTAGTCTTTACTATTTATCAATTTACCCCAAGTAAGTCTTTTCATACAAAAAATAGTTGACATGTCCATTATTTAACGACAAAAAATAGTAACTTAATAACGAAAAACAGTAACTTAATAACGAAAAACAGTAACTTAATGATTATGTATCAAATTAATAACAAGACATGTCAGTTGGTTTTTGTATGGAATAATCAACTTGGGGTAAATTGGTAAACAGTAGGAACCAAATTGTAGGTCCGTATAATAGTTTAGGGACTAAATTATGGATTTAACCTTTAATATAAATACTTTAGATTATTTTAATTTTTTCTTAATGAAATTTATTAAAACAAATTTAGGTGATTTTTCTTTATAGATACAATTAATGGTAATCTTATGATAAATCCTTTATTAAAATTTATTGAAGGAAGAAACGATTTACAATCTAAGGACGAGCTACTGGCACTCTCTTTTATCACTCTTTTTTAAATAATTTTTACATAACCTAACTAAATCACGTGTAATTAATATTTTACATTAAAATTGTGAGTTAAAATTTATTTACATAAAATTTTTATATATTATATTTAAATTTTATGTATCATATTTATATAAAATTTTAATTATTTAATTTTTCATTTTTAATAATTAAAATTTATTTATATATTTATTTATTAAAGATAGTTATTTTTTTATTTAAAAAATTATGATAATTAATTATTAAAAATAAATAAATAAATAATTATTTCGTTTAAATATAATAAATAAGATTTATGTATAAATGAAGACTATTGTAAAATTATAGTTTTTTTAATATAAATTTTTTAATAAGTGTTTTTAGTACAAATATTCAGGGTATTTTTTTATAATAAATATATATAAATATAAAAATTAATATTAATTTTAATGTAAGATGAAATTAATTAAATAATTAATAAATTAAAATTAATTATTATTTTTTAATATAAATTTATTAAAAAATATATATTTAATACACTTAAAAGCACAAATTGGAGAACTTCTTTTAAACTTTAAAATTTTAACTAATTACATAAAATTATGTGCCACCTGGCACAATCTTGTGCAGGTCCGAACCCGACCGATCTCAAAGGTCCGTGTGCAGGCATTACTCCGTAATTCCTACGTTACTGTATGTTATAAAAACCAAACTCTGTTCGCAAAACAACTTGCCCGAACCCGACCGACCTCGACGGGAAGAATTCAGAAACCATCTTTCCTTCTTCCCTCTGGGAAACCTTACTCGTCAAACCCTAGCAATGTCGATCCTTCAGTCTTGCTTTGTTTCGGAATTAACAAGACTTGTTTTCATCGACAACCCCTAATGGATTCGTGATATTTGCTTTTGGTTTGAGCTTTCCCCTTGAACTCTCTCAACCCCTCCATCCATCGCCAACCTTCAGACCCCCAAATACACCGGAAGATGGTGTTGGTCTACCATAGTCACAACCCCCAAACAATTCCTCGTTCTTCAACCAGAACTAAGAACAAATTTCGGTATTACTTGAAGGGTTTTTACGCCTGAGGCTGTTTCGTCTCTGATATGCAGTAAATAAGATTACTGTGTATCTGTCTCCGAAAGAACCTCTCCTCATAATCCAACTTTTTTCTGTCCCGCCAACTACGTCTCCGCCAGGGTCTCTTCTTCCACTTCAGCTCCAGGCACGCGAGTTGCAGTGATTTTTTTTTTTTTTTTTTGCAATTTTCTCTTTTTATCTTTACGGGTTTAATTTCTTGAAAATGGGTGTTCTTTTCTCCTAAAGAGATCGCTTTCTAAGATAACCATAACAATATCTATGAGAATCAAAACAGTTTTATTTGTGAGGAAATTAACTTGTCTGCAGATGTAAGGGACTTATGAAGTTCTAACAACTCAATTCCACTCTTGATTAAGTTTGCTATGGGAAATGACAGCGAGTCTTAGCCTTTTCATGATAAAACTGTTTTAATGATCAAGGGGACTTAATCTTGATGGTATTCATGTTCCTAAAGATGTTTCTGGCCTTGTACTCTCATCATTTCTGAAATTGCTACCGTTCATTAGAGTTAATAATTGTTCTGTTGAATGTGTGGAATTCCTAGTTTCTGAGTTTTAGCATTAGGATTCAGATGAGTTAGGAATCCATTGCTTTGAAGGTCTGCCAATTGAGAATGATACACTTGAGTTTACTGCTCCAACTTCTTCACTTTTCTTCTTCAGTTCTCCACTTTAGTTTCTCTAATTTTTAAGGTCTTTGTTGCCCATTGCAGCTTTTACTTTCTTAATTACTGTTCTAAATTCTAACTGATGTTTTGCATTTGAATCTGTCCTCCACCACTTGTTCTGCATGTTACATTATCTCTCTTTTGATCACTTACTAAATGAGTCTTATTGATATGATATATTTGCATGATTTACCTTGCAGAGAGAGGAATATATGGAGACAAGTCTTTTGGTTCAAAGCATTTACTTATATCTCCTTTCTTTTTCCTTTTTTTGTTGTTTTGTTGTTTTGTTGTTTTGTTGTTTTGTTGTTTTGTTGTTTATTCTTCATGAATTGTATAATCTGGCTTGAGCTGTATCAAAATTTATATTGTATTTAACTCACACTCGACACACGTTAGACATACTCAACATAGAGTTAGTGAGATCTTCATATGCATGGTAAATAATGTCAGTACATGGGTTAACTACGATTTAAAAATCTGAGTGGATAGATGATATAACTATTTCTGGGAAAAATAACTCTTTATAACTATGATTTCAAAATCTGAGTTCGAGAGATGATATAACCACTCAAGGGACCAACTCTTTGGAATAACCTATTAGTATCCATAACATGGATTGGGAGATTGTTGTAGATTGTGAGTGTTCATGATATTCTTCACTATTACATATTTGGGAAGAGTAGACTCTATGAAGTTTGGTTATAGAAATACAATGGGCAGTTGCAAGTTCAACTTCATGTTAGTCTCAGTTAAAAGAGTCATTCCTTGCTACTGATCTTGGGATGATCTACTTGTCACATTCCCATGATGCTGAGGATCTTGATTGTCGGGATTAGCTGGGATTGCAGTGTTTTCCTTGGCACATCGTTCTTTAACCACATGGCAGGTACATTTTTCATACCTCATTTGAACCTGTGAGAACTATTTGGTATCACTTTTGCTTTTAAGGACTTTTTACTCTTTTTTTTTTTTGGCCTTTTCTCGTCATTTTCTATTTTATGCTGTTCTGATTTCTCTGTTTTTATTTTAAAAATACAAATGAGTGAAAATATAGTTTTTTTTTTTTTTGATTTTTTGAGAAATTAACAAGCATCTGTTTTGAAAATTAGAAAATGATGTTTTTATGGCTACATGTTTAGACTAGTCACCATATATTGTTATTTATTAATACTGTTATAAGGTATACCCTTAAATGTTATTTATAATTTCTGTATATAATATTTTGTTATTTTAACTGCATTTGATTTTTATTATATATTTATAGATTTTAGTATTTTTATGATGAATTTAATCTTCATACATATTAAAATGATATTGAACAATGCAAGATATATTAATTTATATAATGTAGATAATCGAACAATATTAAACATTGAATCAATTATAAATTGAAATGTTTTGCTATGAGTGATTGTTAAAAAAAAAAAGATTTTTAATTATTTATATTTTCTTATAAACACACTTTCCTGTACAAATATTATGATATTTTCAAACTCAGTTTTGTCTTTCACACCGGATTTAGATTTGTTATTGCAATTCAATTTAGTTTTCTTAAAATTATATATAAAAAAAGGTTCTAAATAAAACTAATATATAAAATATAAAATTTTCTCTTCAAAATTTTCTAACTATTTTTCTTTGGATTTGAGTTTTCAATTTTTGTAAAGCTTTTTCTTCGTTTTTTTAATTAGTGA